TCGTAACACCCTGAAATCTTCTAATCCTCAGTAATTGCATCATATTTAAAATCGGCAATTCAAAGAATAGCATGTTCTACTGCAACCCCATCCTTCAAGCTCACTTCCCAGTGCCTTCACTGGACCAACACTGACACCTCCAATCTAGAATGCAGGACATTAAGTCAATTGCCCTGACTGTTCTCAATAATTAATGAAATGAAATACAAAAGAGGCAAGATAATAAAACGATATAACCAAAGACATTGTGCAAACTTTGGACCATGAACAGGGTTAAAAAACAGATTTAAAAAAAAAAAAATCTTGAATATGGACAATACATTAGACTGCTCTTAATTTTTTTTAGTGTGATAATGGTGTTGTGGTTTTTTGGGAACATGATTTTACCTTGAAGATGCACAGTGAAGTATTTAGGTGATGTGTCATGATGTTTGCAACTTTCTTTTAAATGGATCAGAAAAAAACAGAAGAAAGAATGGGAAGAGGAGAGGAAAACGGAAGAGTGAGGAAGATGGAGAAAAAGGTAGAGAAAGAGAGAAAGGGGGAAATGGAGAAACAAAGCAAATGTCCAAAAGTTCAACAATAAATTAATCTGGTGAAGAGTATACAGGTGTGCATCATACTACTCATCCAATTTTTCTCCAGGTTTGAAAATACCTAAAATAAAAAGCCTTAAGGGAAATATATCAAGAAAAAACCCTCTTTGATAAATCCTTTGAGCTAAAAGAAAATTCAGTCTGACGTATGTACATCCACACCTTATTTTGTGCTTATCCAAACGTAATTAAAATATTTTAGGATGGGAAGTGGCTTAACTAATATGAGAATGTACTACACATTACTCCACAAATTGCTCTTCTTCTTTAACAATACATATGGACATGTCTTCAAGTCACAGCTGCATAGTATTTTACAGTAAAGATGCGCTGTACATGATTCAATCTTTCATCCATTTAGTGGACACTGGTTGGTCGGCATTTTGACTACTACAAACAATTCTGTTGTAAATGTCCTTGGGAACATCCTCTCACAATTCAGTCTTTTAACTCTACATGAAAGATTACCATAAGTTGAACAGCTGGGTCAAAGGGTAGGTACTTTTATTCACATCTATTGCCAGATTATCTTCTCAAAAGACTACAGTAGAGCAAGTCACACTCCAAAGAGGCCTTCCCCTTTATTTCATCTGCACAGTGAGTTACCAGACTTTTTAAAAATGCTGCCACTCTGGCAAGCTACTTGAAGGCAGCACAAAGTGAGGTACTCTCAACAGAGTTACCTATTAAGTCCTAAAGTACTCATATTGTCTTTCAAAAGACAAAAAAGGAGAGGAAAGAAAAGAAAGATACCCTACCCCCCTCCTTGAATTCCCACCATACTTTTTCACCCCACTATTACAGCACTTATGAAGTTATATTATACTTATCTGTTTATATGTTTTTCATACAAGTATACCAGAAACTCCTTGAAATCAGGATTGGTATCACTCACTCACTCATTCATTCATTCAACAAATATTTATTAATTACCTACCACATGTCAAACACTGCTAAGCATCAGTAATACCCAAGTAAAAAACACCATCAGGGGCCGGCCCAGTGGCGCACTGGATAGTGCGCCGCTTGGGAAGCGCGGCGGCGCTCCCGCCCGAGGGTTCGGATCCCACATACAGACCGGTTCCCGCTCACTGGCTGAGCGAGGCGCGGGGGCAACACCGAGGGTTGCGATCCCGTTGCGGGTCCCGGTCCGGTACGGGGGCGACACTGAGGGTTGCGATCCGTTGCCGGACACGGAAAAAAGAAAAAAAAAAAAAAAAAACACCATCAGATAAACAAGATAAACACCCTCTTATACCTAATATTTTTAGGGAACAATCCAATATTTAGCAATTAATCATACAATTAATACTTTAATTACAGTGATGGTAAATGCTTTGGAGAAGCATTGGAACGGGGTGAAATGAAGGCATAAAGCCCCAGCACATGGTACTGGGAATGACCTAAAACAGACTTTTGATATTGCTTACCTATGGTTTAATAAATTTCACATCACCAACTGACCGATAAAGTCATTTATGACATATGATTCCTAACTATGTGGTTTTATAATTGTGATGAGAGAGGGAAGAAAGAAGAAGGGAACTAAAGATAGTGAACGACATGAGCCAGTGTAGTGCCAAGCCCTTCATACTTAACCTCCCTTCATCCTCACCACTAATTTATAAGGCAGAGACTATCACTCCACTTTTAAAACGTAGAGTATGAGATTCAGAGAGACAAAGTAATTTGGTAAAAATCACATAATTACTATATGGCATGAGAATAGTGTGTGAACCCAGGTCTGTCTGGTTTCTTTCTACTACATCACAATGACTCAAATGTAGCATTTCAGACTAAGCCTGAAAAAAATCTATCTGTTCAAGAAAATACATTTTTTACATGTGATGCATGTAACAGCAGGAAAATATGGCAAACCTACTTGGTACTTAAGTCAGTTAATTTAAAAATATAGTAATTGGTGAATGAATAAAGTATAGAAATTAAATAAGTAAATTAGTGGAAAATATGTTCAATTAAGTATAAAACATGAAAGTATGTTCTGTAAATATGAAAGAATATTCCTCTCAGAAGCCAGACAGAGTAGAAGAATAACTTTTAGTTGGGACCAGTACAAACTAATATTTTGACAAACTGCCCAGATGCCATGCCATCATGTTGTATTATACCAAAATTTAACAGAGATGTGATCTGACAAAATATTCTTACTCAGACTACCTCCAATTCATGAATTTACTGTTCAAGCTTATTAGAGTAAAACCTAAATTAACCAAAATCTAATAACTGAACAACTACAATGAAAAATTCAAAGATTAAGAGGGGGGAAAACCCCATAGAATACTCTTAAGAATACTCTAAAGTCCTCCAGAAATAACCTTTCAAGTAACTTATTTATGTCTATTATGTGTACTTAAACACATGAGGGGTCTTCAAAAAGTTCATGAAAAGACTTGCATTATCCTTTAATTCTATTTTCCATGAACTTTTTGAAGTACCCTCATAGAGAGACAAACATCCAAATTAGAGGTGTGTTTCAAACATGCACTAAAGGGCCGAGCCTGTGGCGCACTCGGGAGAGTGTGGCACTGGGAGCACAGCAGCACTCCCGCCGCGAGTTTGGATCCTATATAGGGATGGCCAGTGCGCTCACTGGCTGAGCACGGTGTGGCCGGTCTCAAAAAGGACAAAAAAAAAAAAAAAAATGCACTAAAGTCATTTGGGGGACAATATTATTTCTGTGGGAAAATAGACACCACCAGCCCCAGGACTACAACCAATGTATAGAGATTACATGTATTTGCTGCTTAAAACAGTGGAAACAGCAAAGTTATAAAACCAGTAAATACTCCATAAAGAAGGCTAAAAAGGAAATCACAAGTGAGCTAGAAAGAATATAAAGGAGATTTTTCAAATTTTCAGATACTCTGCATATTGAAGTTACTGATTTTTTTTTTAATTACATCTAGGTTCACATGAAAGCTTACTGTTTTCCCTTAGTTGACAAGGATGAAGCACTAGCACATGAGATTACACAGAATCACCATTACTTATTCGTTAGTAAAAGTAAAGAAATGAGGGTGATGCTTAAAGGGAAAGGAGGGAAGAAATTTCTCCTGATGTAACAAGGGAAAAACTGGAAAAGATGAGGAGAGTGTGGATTGTATGATTTAACTGTCATTAAATGAAAATAAGCAGGAAAAGGTAGAGGTGCAAAAATAGGGTCACTAAATTGCCCTGGGCCACTAATGTACAGTTGTACAAACTGTTCACAGCACAAAGGCACTCAGTCAAGGGGGCAAAGCAAGGGCTTGATAAGCTCCACTGCTAAGCTGGGCTTCCTGTCTCAGAGCGGGATATGTCCTGAGAATAGAGCACTTCTATTTCACACAAAGCTCCAGTCCACTTGACAAGCACCTAAAAGCTGTATCCACTCAAAGTGAGGTCTTCTGAAATTTGCATAAAAGCACCATTTGGCCTTGAGGGAGGCTATATAGTAATACTCCACCACCGTTCTACTACTTCAGCCTCCAAGTCTAGCCTCCCAGCCCCACCGTTATATTCACTGAGCCATGAGAAAAGAGCAAAACTAGACAATAGTCAGTCTTTCCTACGAACTGTTCTTTGACCCACACTATTCATTCACAACTGAAAGTGAACTTACATCTTGCAGTTTAAATCTGATATTAAAGTCCATTATTCTGAAGTTGACAATAATTTATGTTGAGCTAAAGTAATCTTTTCATCACTAATGGAAAGTTGCTAATAAAATTTAGAACGTAATTTACTCCTTGAGGGGGTTAAGTATAACTTTGCTTTCATTGTATAAATGGAATGGCTGCTCCTAATTCAGTTATCCTACACACTCTAAAGGTTTGTAGGATCACAGTTTATAAGGCATTATAACTATAATATATGTACGAGGTAACAAAACTGCATTTCTTAGAAAATAGTGTATAATTTTCCCTAATCACAGAAGCAAACAGCTATACCCTCTACCCCCAAATCAGTCAAATGTTAAGTCATTATGCTTTATATCTCCATACATTTTCAAGTTTCCTATGTCAAAAAAAAAAACCAAAAACCCATAGACAATAATATAGCAAAATTGCTATCAAACTGCACTGGCCAATTGTCCTTTAATCTGAAGTCTCTTGTTTTACATACCATACATACCTACAAATACTAGATGCTCATCTAGGAAAGGTCATAAGTCATATGTTTAATTAAATAACTTAAGATGTACATATAAAGTATAGGACGGCTAAAGAAAATGAAACACCTATACTTAGTAGGTCAGTTTCATTAATTCATGTTTTTCTTATTTCTATTTAAACACATAGTAAGCAAATGTTCTACAGAATTCTCTAATTAGTAAACCTTAAAGCTGTCTTCTAGAACTGGATGTTATATATAATAACAGGACCACAAATACTTGTTTTTTACCTCGAATAACATAATTATCCAGTGCATCTTCCATCCTCTTCAACGCTTCGGTTCTATCAGAACCGTATGTGATTAGCTAAAAACAAACAAAAAAACCCAATCTATATCTGTCTCTATGTTAAATGATTCTTTCTAGTAAAAATCAAAATATTTCCTAACAGATTTTCCAAAATATATTTTGAAATTTCACAGTGGTTTAATTTTAAACATAAAATACTCCAACTAAGATTTGAAGTAAATATTAGAATTACGCTTGTTCAGACTTTTCTCCCACATTTCATTATCATAGTACAAAGCTACTTGACAAAAACAAGCATAGGAAACATTTAAAAATATATCAAAATGTGAACATTTGGGATAGATTGTGAATAGTGGTGGGATTAGATAAGATTTTTTTTTATTTTCCTATTTTTCTGTGATTTCCAAGTTTGATACTTTTAAGAGCTAACACTTTCATAACTGACCCAAAAAAGGAGACAAACTTTTAAATATGAAAGCAAAAAGGAAAAAAAAAAAGGACTATCTTAAGAACAACTCACAGTTTTATACATATAGTACAGAAGCAAAGAGTATTTGTATTAGAAAAACAGAAAGGTCTTACTGTTCTATATAACTTTGTGCCCATTTATATGTATCTTATTTAACTTAGGAATAAAATAAGACTTAACTCATACTCATTAAAGATTTTTCTGGTGGTTATATTAGTCAATCTGTAGATTGCAATTATTCTATTTATATTTTATTAGCTCTTCAATATTAAGCCAGTTTGAAAATTAATTTGTAGGCCATTTTTCTGAACAGAAATGTATCTGTCTAAAAATGAAATCCTATCTGTTCAAAAATCAATATGCAATATTTTATGTATTTTTATTTTTAAATAGTGTTTCTCTAACAAACAAAAGACCTAATGTTAGAGTAAAAACTTAAATGAAAAAGATAAAAAATGGTTTGTTTACTGCAACATAAAAAAGTATACTTGGGGAATAACCATCTTGAAAAATAGGGTTTATTAAAGAAATCACTCCCCCATTGAGATCTAAAATTTCAGAGAACAAAGCTCTAAATGAAATCCAGTTTTAACTACTGCAATATTTTACATTTTATAAGATCTTAAGATTTAAAAGATCTAGAAATTTAAGAAGAATTATTATTGTTTATTCTGGAAAGTCAATCTTTGAAAAGACAGGTGGGCAAAACCACATCTTATAATACTTTTGTCAAATCTACTTACGTAATTAGTAATTTGTAAAAATTGAAGAGAAGCAGTCAAAAGTACTCTAACAAACACTGTCTACCAGCACAGCTCCTTGATATCACCTGTCATTCATCCTTTCATCTCAGGCAATGCTCAGGAAAGGCCAAAAAACCTAATTCCTCCTCATTGCAATGACAGGGGTTGGCACCACTAGTGAGATGTTTATTTTTGTATGTGTGCGTGTATGTGTGTGTGTGTGTGTGTGTGTGTGTATGGTGGTAGCAGTGGTGATAGCATGATTTGATTGGGAAGAGGGAAATGCTGCAAACTAAACATGATGCTGAAATTCCTCTCGAGAAAAAATTTTTTCTGCTTTCATTTTTACATCAGTGCCTAATTACTTGCTTAATTATAGTACATGATTCAGATGAAGGCCCAATTTCAGACTTTTAAATTAAATACATGCATTGTTTTTTCAGAAAAAAATTGAAAGATCCATTAAGAAATAGAACTAACTTTTGAAATCATAGGGTCATAATAAATGCTAATATCACTTCCTGGTTGGATGCCGCTGTCAACCCGGACCTAGGAGAAAAAAAGAAAAAATAGAAAGTGACTTCATATTGTGCAGATAATTATTTTTAACTACAAATATAATTTCCATGGAAAAAATAGATATGAGAATTTCAATCTCAAATAACATTTCAGCTTCTAGAAAATAGAAAAATGACCTAAAAACACAGATCAAATGATCTTCATCTGTTAACAGGCAGTACAACATATAGCTGTTGTTCTCCCCCTAAACAAAGGAACTAAGAAATGGCAAAACAATACTTTATACATTACTATACTAGACTGAATCTGTAGCTATTTGATGGTGTCTTCCAACTGAAGCAGAGCATGGAAGATGCCCCTTCTAATCCAACTCACCATCAGACCCTTCTGAGAGCACCCAGGAGGCCCCCACCAGGCCTGCTCTGCAGCTCCATAGGAACGCAGGGCCTGGGCCTTTCATGCCTGTAACTCTTTCCTGTTTTGCCTTACCCTCTCAACTGTAAAACACTATTTTTCTGTTACTGTTAGTCCCCTGGGGCTTTAATGTTTACACAGCTTTTCCCATGGCTTTGCTCTGTAAGGACACAGCCCCAATTAGAGTTCTGATTTTGCGATTTTCACTGGGGGAGGAGGGGAATAGCACAAGTTCAAAATATTCTTTTGAAGAGCCTGATTGCTGTTAACCAGCCAACAAGTTAGTTAGTACATCGCTGATTCTTGTTTTCATCTCCCAGTTTGATAACAGCAGTGAGGCACGAAGGTTAGCCATGTAAAACTTTTAAAAATGAGCAGTTGCTGAGGACAGATATTTATTAAATTATTGTGACAACGTTTTGGAATCTGAAGTATTTAAAAGCTAATCAAAATACTTCAGACTGTCAGGAATATCCTAGGGGTCTTGAGGATAGAGGAACTGAATCGAAGCTGCTAGAACAGCAGGACTTTGACGCCCAACATTGTAAGGGGGTAGGAAGAGAAGAGCAGAAGCTCACGTGGCTCTTCACCTGTGGGAAGAAGGCTTCCTAATAAACAGCAGCTCATCTGTCTGCAGCAAGGCAGAAAAAGGTCAACGCGGCGGCTGTTAAGCCTTTAATATTTTAATTTAGGCAATTATCAAGGGACCACATGTAGAACCTCTTGTCTAGGATATCCACATGAGGGTATGATGATGGCTTTATTATATGGTGACATCAAAAGATAAGCTATAGTTTCATTCTCTGACAAACATCTCATACTGGTACCCTCTTTGTCAGGTTTTAAAAGGTCACACAGTAACATACCTGGAGGGCTTTTATTTCTTTATTTGCAAACACAAACAAAAATATGAATATTTCTATTCGTATTCACATTCATGTATGAACATCTTAATTTTAAATAAAAGCCATTCAGCATACTTACAAAATATACTTGGCTTTCTATTTTCTGAAACCTACTTTAGGACATAAAATGAAGTTCAATGAAATTCATAGTGTTGATAAAAACAAGAATTAAAGAGGCAGCTTTGAGAGCAATAAAATCACAATCTACCTTCTCCCCACATTTAAATAGCTCCAAAATGGCAAGTGGAAATCAGGTTATGTAAGAGAAAATATACCTGTGAACTTTCATTTTCTTAACTTCAGTACCCAAAAGTTAAAGAGCTAATTTTAACACCATGCCATTTTTAAAACCATAGCATGCTCACTAATGCTGTATTTAAAACTGAGATTGGTAAAGTTCTAAAACTTTTGACTTCTTAAATATATCCTATCATTTGCTACATAAACTGCTACAAAGCTAATGAAGAACTCTGATGTTCAACCTACTCATAAAATAACACAAAGAAAATTTATTATATCATCCTATTGTTCATAACTTAAAATTTTAGTTACCACCCTAAACGTTATGTCATTTTAATTTAAAATATATAGGGTAAAATCAAGATGTATCAACACATATCTTTGTATAAACAAATCAACATTCCCAATTTAAAATTGTAACAAAGCATGAAAACTCTGATTTATAATTTACTGTTTATGCAGCTTTTTGCAAATAATAATCAGCTATATTTTTATTTCTAATAATTAAAAGTCAAATCAAGTCTCCATTTCTCTGTGGAAGCAAAGGCTATACAAATCTGCATTAAAAGCTTTAAGAATAAAGTCAATTGGAATTGAAACAAATTTCAGAACAAATCTGTTCTGAAAATAATCTGGTCTGAAAATAACAAATTTACAAAATACGGTAATTGAATATCAAAAAGAAAATCTTCATCATTGTCATATAAATAAATTTCAGGCTTAAAGAAGCAAGTGAAAAGTACCAACCATAAGTTAACTCTTCAGTAAGTATTCTTGTGACCCAAAAAGGTAGGAGCCAAAAATGATTTCCTAGGTTAAACTGACTAATCTAGTTTTAATAAGGTAAGGAGGAAAAACAAATAACGGCCACAACAAAAACGCCTAAGCATCTCTGTATGAAATTCTCAAACCATTGCTCAGAAACCTCTAGCATAATTAAAATTTCTTTCTTCAATACCATAGTGGACCTTGTGAAACTATCAGACGTCTCCCACCCTTCAGTCTCAATTCACCTCTCCCCCCTAAGCACAACTCCCAGCCCGCCACATCTACCTGACAAGTGACAGCCCAATCTGATTAAATGCTTCCAAGGGAGGGGACTCGTGGGCCTCTATGACAGGCCAAAAGTGATCACCATGGAGATACATAATTACAGCTGTCAGCGCATCTACTGTCCTGCTGACATCAATTTGATTGCTCCAAGCAATAATGATAGACAAAGCTTAGTGTGCACTCTCTTGCACCCAATCACTTTATCTATTCCTTGGTCCATTTAGCTGACATGCAACATTCACACAAGCAAATAACAGCAGTAAGCAGAACATTTAAGGCATTTTAATTGTTTTTTTTTTTCCTATGGATGGCTCGCAACTGCAAATGTTATTACATAAAACTCCTGCTGCAGCATTAATTGAAGAAAGATTTGGTGGGACAAAGACTGTAGGGGGTATAGTTTGTCCATTATCACTTGTACTTTCAACAGGTCTCACGTTTGAAAATTGCAAATTGCAAAAACTTGCGAGGGCAAAATGTTTGACATTCTGTTAGCTATTACAACATGGTGAAAACTTCTAACGACCAGAGTAATCATTATGAATTCTTATTTAATACTTTTTTTGTTTGATTAAAAAAGTGTTTAGATATGTCCCTATGATACTTGTTTTCTCATCTGCTATTTAATGTCACATAATGCCTGTTAAATCTTTACAATTTTTTTCTGCCTTCAGGCTTTGAACACAGCATGGAGTCTCCAAGCCTAGAAAGGGTCAAGTCCCTTTAGAAAGCACACGGGCAAAAACAATTTAAAAAGTGAAATAAATCATATATCCAATAACATCTTCAACTTTAGAATTCTTCCTGTAATCTTTCACTATCTTCATGCCAGTAATCAAACTGAATAATCATATTCACAGATGGTACAGCCTTGTCATCCACTAGCTAACAGAATGTCATATATATGCACTTATTACCTCGATTAAGAAAAAGGGTAGACACTTGTTCTTTTTAAGCAACAAAAACTATGTAAAGAACAACTATTAAATATGGAAGAACTATGAAGTAGAGTTGACAGTAATCACTTTTCTTTAACTGACGTAAATAATATGTACTTTGTAAAGTCTATGACACTTAATAGAATAAGCCACACTTTACTTTCCTTCATCCATTTCAATTAACAAGCTGATTTTGTGCTTGCATTTCTTGACATCTGACTATACTGGGGAGCTGGATTAGACTTACTGAAAAGATTAAACTGTAACACAAAAAGTCATCTCCTATTCTTAGGATTCCTTGATCTTCTTCATTACAGTTTTTGAAAGAATTGGGTACATTTATATCTCATCAGATTTCTCCAGACTTCATGTGTCAAGTGAGTTCTGACTTTCCTGAACACCATAAAATAACAAAAAAAAATTTTTTTTTTTACCACAGAGACTGATTCTCCATGAATCTCACTTTTTCTTCAATTTACCCCCTTTGGTGTTGACATTCTTTAACATAAAAGTACAACATAAATCAAGATTTTAACCCCTCAGTTGGTACTACAGCTTAATGACTTACACCAGGTAGATGTGTTGGTTCTTGGTACTGAGACAACCTCCCAATAGACGGTAAACCAAAAGACTTGTAGGGGTCCTGAAAGTTCAAAGGAAAGGAAGCACAGTCTTTGAAATATAAATCAGCACAAGTAAGGTTAAACATTTATACAATCAAGAAGCATTTATAGGTCTATTTTGAACACATGATATTTACCAAATCACAAGTTTCAGAATATTATTGTCTTATATTCTAGACAACTTAGGAGTGTACTTAAAAATCAAACAGAACTGTAAGCAGAATTTAGCCTGACCTTGATCATACTTTATTGAAATTGGTAAAATTCCAACTTTTTATAAAACTTCTTAGAATGCCTTGGGCAAAAATAAAATAACCTAGGCTCTACATCAAAACATACTCAAGTTCAGAACAACAAATGTGGTGTGCTAAAGATATTTGTTTTTCTTACTTCTCAAAACAGCTCACATATGGTAAAACTTGAGAATTTGGGTTCTTCAAATAAAGACCTGGGAAGAAACTTTGCACGTGTTACTAGATATATACTCCATTTGTAAATATCTTAGATCAGAATAAATAATAAGTCCAGTGTTATAAGAAAGATAGGAATACCACTTAAAATATGACAAAAAGCAAGAGCAATAAGGAACATGCCAAAACACACAAGGGTATTTCAAAAAGTTCACGGAAAAATAGAATTAAAAGATACTACAAATCTTTCCATAAATTTTTGAAGTACCCTTGTATTTTCAAGCTCCTTTAAAAAGATTTCAAAACAACTTTCAGTATTCTTTTTTGTTGTATAAATGCTTTATTTTAAAGTTCAACATTATACAATGTAATTGTTAGTATCCTTAAATACAGATACTGCTGATTTACTTTTTTATTTCCACAAACATCTTTGACATCTAAAAGTAAAAGATGATATGTAACTTTGCATTCTTGTTTTAATCATTTGCAAAAAGCATTTTCAGATTTTGACTGCTCTATTATCTGATCTAAGTAAATATAAAATAACATAAAAGCACTGAACAAAGAGTTTATGAGTAAAATCTGTAACTAAAATTATGATTTAAGAGCACATGTTTTATCAAGAGCTTTACAATTTAAATTTCAGTTGTTTCATAAAAGACAAAATTATTAGGGAAAAACTGTTGGAAAAAAATTCAGTAAATATAGAATCAACAACCAACATGTACCCAAGATAGGCTCTTTAAAAAAATAAAAACCCAGAGAAATAAATGCTGCTCTTTCTTGCTAATGTGAATACAAACAAACAAAAAGCAAACAAAATAAAAACCATGGTCCATTTGAGCTCAAGAATATTTAACTTAAGTTTTGTTGCCTCTTGACAGATTGGTAGCAATTTCCCCATCCAGAAATATATGGGAATTCATTAAACTCAATTCTTTAAAACTATTTTGAATCACGTCAAAATTGTCTAATATTTTTTCTGGCTTAATTGTGGATAACATAATCAAATACCTGACATAGGCTACAAGTCCCTAACTTTACCTTGTTGTTTAGCTATACCAGGTCCATGACTCTGGACACAACAAATCTTTCCTCCCAACATCATTCATTTTACCTCAGCATAAACCCGACATTCAACTGCCCAGCCGTTGATGGGAATATCAGCTTGTTTGTGCCTGAGAGGGTAACCCTTAGCAACACGGATCATTTCTTGGACTAGGTCCAGGCCAGTAATGCATTCTGTGACAGGATGTTCAACCTGCAAGGCCAAGATCCGCCAGTCAATAAGCATAGAAAAAGGTAAATAAAAATAAACCAGAAAAATTTCAAAGTTTCTGGGTGAGGTTAATTATATTTAAAATTTAATCAGATTTGACTAAAAAAACCTCTAGCTAGGAGAATAAAATGAAAAAACAAACATAACACAATACACAAATCATGAAAACAAAAACTACCTCCTAAAAAGTATTTATAAACTATGTGTATTACTTTTTCAAATTTTGATTTATATGTGGTCCAACAATGCCTAACAATTTTAATTTTGAAACTAATTCTTAACCAAAGAAACACATATTTATTTCACTGCAATCCTCAATGTGGCTGATAATCAAGCTATTCTGCTACACTTAACATGGCATCTATAGGGGCAGCTTATGATTTTCCAAAGCACTAGTCTATCCTAAGTCTCACCCACTTGCATGCTTTCACTAACCTGTCCTGACAAGCAGCCAGATTAGCGTAATCTTGCATCAATGCAGTGTAGCAGAAAGGAGCAGATGGATCCTTCAGGTTGCTTTCCCTCCAGACTGACTTGGGTAGTGCTTAGCATGCACAATAGCAAAACTGAGCTAGTGAAATCACTCTGCTCTCTCAGCAAATTGTTGATAACTACCTCAGCTGATGCTGTCATGGGAGTACCTGGCCTTCCACACTAACACAAGGTATACATACATACAAAAATGTGCTCTGACACATAGGTACAAGAATAGGGATACACGTCATTACAAACTTGAACGACTGCTTACAAATTCCTAAACTTGAGTTAAAATAAAGCTACTTATAGCACTGGAAAAGAGTGGATAATCAATCTGTCTTTCATCTAAAAAGCTGAATAAATTTTAAAATTTTAAATATAACTTGGGCCACATCTGCTGCTTTGATACCAACTTTTCTTTTCATAAAAATTAAGTATGTTCTAAATGCATTTCACAATAGTTTCTTTATCATGACATGTCATATTTCATATACTCTGACGCAGGAAAAGGTCAGTGAACAAACGAATTATCTTTCCATCTTCAACTACATTAATTGAAGGACAGGACTTAGTCATTATAATAATCTTGAAGCTTATCATAAGCAGACAATGCCATGGTCTTTAAAAAAAAAGCTTTGTAAAAATAAACAGATGGCATCCATAATTAGCTCTGTGTGTGTTATGAGTTTGTTTACAATTTCAACAACATTTTAAGGCATTTTGACATAATTTTAATGACAAATCATCACTAAAATAAGCATCTACACTTTGAAAAATAAATGTGACACTAAATAAAGATCTTATTAGATAGTTTAAAATATATATTTTTAAAAGCAAATTATGATTTTTTGAGAAACATCTTATGATAAAAAATAAGAAACAAGAATAAAGTCCATCTATTATTACTAGAAACCAATTTCATGTGAGAAAGCATCTTAGTATTCAAATTATTCAGGAGGTAAACCTACTATGTGCCAGATGCTTTATACCAATACTATTTCCACATCCCTATTAGGTAAGAAAACTTTAAAAGTTAAGTGAATGATTCAATTTCCTCTTTCTATGACCAGTGCCCAGGAAAGTATGTACTATATACTAGGGAAATAAAAGTATATTGAATGAATAAATGAATGAACGAACAAACAGTAAATCCAGACTCATTCCTACAGTAAATGGTAGAGCTAGGGTTGGAATTTATGTCACTCCAGAGATGATGTTATCTTCCTGTTCTTCCTCATGGAAAGAATGTATATGAAAGCATGTAGAGTAAATAGAAACAGCGATACAGCAATTATGTGCCACTGTCTTTTATAAAACATATTATTATAAAGATTTAAAGATACAAATTTCTTACAAAGCTCTGTTTTACTTTAGAAGACATCTCTATAACTAATTAGAAAAATAAGCACATTAGATTTACTTCGAATGGTATTGAAAAATGAATCCACATAGTTCCAAACTTAGAGTTATATAAGAGAAACACAACACAACATTTACAATTGAAATTAGTGAGCTACAAGTAATTGAAAATAGAAGTAATTAAGTAGATAACTAAAATAATAACCAGCTGCTACAGGTAAAATAATTACATACAGAATTTTTTTTTTCTCAAAAATTTTCGTTTTAGGGCCGGCCCGGTGGCGCACTGCTATAGTGCGCCGCTTGGGAAGTGTGGTGGCGCTCCCGCCGAGGGTTCGGATCCCACATACAGACCAGCCGCTTACTGGTTGAGCGAGGGGCGGGAGCAACACCGAGGGTTGCGATCCCGTGGCCGGTCCCAGGCCGGTACGGGCGCGACACTGAGGGTTGCGATCCGTTGCCGGTCACGAAAAAAGACAAAAAGGAAAAAAAAAATTTTTTTTTCATTTTATTTTACAACATTTCTTTTGATTTCATTTGATATTTTAATATATAGGATTCACATTTTTTACGTGAAAAGGCAATGCTATCAGATATTAAGCAATAATTTAAAAATTTTGATGTATATTTCTTTCAGACATATCGATTGAGTTTTTTTAATTTTTTTGCTTCATTGATATAAACCGTAGGATTCTTACATAATTTTTAAAAATATTCACTTAAGTACAAGTATTGTCAAAGTCCACAAAATATTCTAACATGTCTGAATTTTTCAGGTAAAAGAAATACATCTTCTTCAAAGTAAAACTTATTATTTTAAACATTTTTAAAAGAAATCTTTCTAACTACACAAAATTCCAAAGCTATTCAATAGGATATGTGAAACTTTTCCTTTAGATCCTATATTATTATTATTGCCAGAAATTTTGTAAGCATAACATTGTTTAAATAATCACATACATCCCCCAGCTCCCAGGAACTTAGCAATAGTTTCCCTCTGAAAGTTAAACTCAGTACTTAAGAGAATTAAAACAGAGCTACACAAAGAAATAAAATGGTTCCCAGGCCAAAATATAATTCAATAGAAATTTTTAAAATATCTTAGGAAGGAAGGTAGGAAGGAAGGAAGGAGATGGTTAACTAGAACAAAAGCTTATGAAAAAAAAAGAAGAGTCAAAGATTGGTGTCTGGTAAACCAACAAGTTCATCTTTTCATACTTAGAAGAAAAATGTAACCACAGAAGTCTGGTGCTAACAAACATCTGTTCTGGGGGCTATTATGCAGAGGAAAAAAAGGTTTCTGTGTCACCTCTATTCGGGAAACACTGAGTTAACCTAATAAGCAGAGTTTTTTTTTGTTTTTTTCCCCTTTTTGTCTTTTTTTTTACTGATGTTTTCCAATCAGTAAAGTACAAGTTAGGAAGAACATACCCAAGTAGAATTAAAACATCTATGCATATATTACACTTAACACTGGCAACAGAGAAGACATAGCTATTTTTTTTTTCCTTTTTATCTTTTTTACTGACTGGTAACGGGATCGCAACCCTTGGTGTCACGCCCGCACCGGGGACCAGCAACGGGATCGCAACCCTCGGTGTTGCGCCCGCACCGCGCTCAGCCAGTGAGCGGGAACCGGTCTTAAGCAGAGTTTTTTTTAAGGAAGATTCCTCAGTCTTTAAAATGTCCATATGCCTTATGACTCTCTAAGAGGGGGATCCTGTACAGCGCTTCCTCTTCTTTTTGCAGAGTATCTTTATGGATTTAGAATTCCATGGAACACACTTTTGGAAACAATGTTTTAAACACTCAAAACATAAAATGGAATTCCCTTATTTTTGAGAAGCTGGCTTCATATGTTTTTCCAATGCATCAGAAATGTGCTCATTTCAAGAAACGCATGAACAAGGGATCTATCAGACAGTATTATTTTGCATTGTAGATTAATATATTACCATTTGAATATATAAATCTTGTGATTTAGTCAGCAAGAGTAAGCCCTAACCCAAAATAATAATAAGAATAATCATCACACATGCAAAAAAGGAGTAAGTCCTACCAGGTTAAAATTTCTAAATCCTCAAAGACATACATCTGACTAGGATATATTAATCAAGGTAGTGCCACACTGTAGAATCTATTAGCAGTGGATAAACCAGTTAGAATTAGCAATACTCCCAGTTCACCATAAATTTTTTGTTCAAACAGGTATGAAAAACTACAATCATCAAATGCCATATTATGGGACATAATTATGCTCAGGGACTAGAATGAAATTGTATAGTTCTATACATCTACATCGGATGGTCACAAACAGCTAGCTTATTTTAGATCTATCAGCTATTTTAATTTAATTTTGTCTTAATCACCATCAATCTGTCACTATTATCAGTGTGTCTAGCCCTCTCACTACTTTCTCTTACTAATCTGCTGCTTCAAATTTATTTTCCAAAAAATAATTAAGCTTGTCAAATGCAACTGTAAGGTAAATGAGGTTTTGCTTTATCTCTGAGTGCTGAATGTATCTAATTTCAATAGTGATGAACTTAGAAAAACTAAATCTTTCTAGCATTGTGTTGTCATTATATACCTTCATGATTCTAAAAATTAGAACCATAAACTCTGACACTGACACTGCTATATTAAGCCTTATTCCTCATTAAATACAAACTAGGAAGTATGCTAAAATTAGTGAGTGAAAATATGATGAGATATTTACAGAGTCTCAAAGTAGCTCCCTATAAGATACTTTGTTAATGACAAAAGAAAAAATATTAACACTCTGGTAGAGAAACGTCAAGCCAACATCACTAGTAATGGGATAAACAGACATCTCATGCCATAGAAGGACAACATTATTTCTGTAGTATTCCTGCCCAAAATGCAAAGACCAAATCTAGTCATGAGAAAACAGACAAACCCAAAATGAGCGGCATTCTACAAAATAAATGGCCTATGAGCTTAAAAGGTCTCAAGACCATAATTGACAAAAAAAGACCAAGGAATTGTTGCAGATTGAGAAAGAATAAAGACAGGTAACAACTAAATGCAATGTAGGATCCTGAATCAGAATGTTTTTTTTTTTTTTTTTACTACAAAGGCATTAGTGAGATAATTGGTAAAATTTACATATAGTCTATAGACTG